AATACTATCTCCATGAGATTATGAAGATCCTCTCTACTATTTCCTCTCATAACAATAGATCAATATAAGTGCTATTAAATTTAATACATAGATTTATTTATTGAAGGATGATCATTATTGGAAATTTCTACCAGAAATTCTTACCTAATGGTGAATCAGTAGTCAATTCTCCTATGTAGATTGTTTGAAGATGATCAGAATAAAAAATGAACAGTCAGATAGATAGTAGAATCTGATAGTTGACCTATTTGAGCAATTATAATGCCACGAAAGTTTATCAAAAATTCCTAGCCAACTGAAAATTTTGGATCTTAAACTTTGCTTGCCTTTGGGCTAATCGGGAGACTGATTTTGTTAAGCTGAATTTTGAGGATAATTCCTTTCGGTAAAAAAGTTAGTTCTTATGTCCTACAGATGAAATATCTCAAGGGAATTAAAGTTATTTCCAGGATTTGATTATTTATATTAAACAACTAAAGTTAAGCTAAATTTAAAGTTCATTTTGGTACCTGATTGGAACAACTCACATGAAATCATAAATATTAATAGATTTGAAAGAAGGAATGATTCTACTTTATTTTATTTAATATTTACTGTGTTTAAGGCTTGCGCATGCGGCCTCAATCTTGAGACTACATCAAATTGAGATGAAAGAGTAAATTATGGAACTATATTAAATATAGTATTTGCTAAGTTGAGATAACGGTTGTAAACGATAATTCCCCTCCTTAAGAGAAATCTTTATGAATAATATGGAAGTTGTTTATTTTATTTGAAATATTCAATATATTAGTGCCAAACAGAATAGAATGAAAAAAGAACATCGCAACAAGCAAATGAAAGCACAGAGTATTTTGATTACTGATAAGCCTCATTACTTATTCTAACTACTATCTTACTTCACATAATTATTGAAGTTGAAATAACGGTCTCACACTAGAGACTTGCATATTGTAGCTTAACCACATTACTGTCATCTAAAACCCGCAGTCTAAACTTCAAAAAATTAATAATATTTAATGGATTAACATTATCAGATGAAGGTCTAGTGAAATTATATTATCAAACCGCTATTATTAGTAATCTCTCCTTAATAGTAGCATTACAACTTAGGATAATTATTGTTTTAAATTCTATTAACTGAAAAACAAAAATTCATTGTTATCTAAAGAGTGCAAATAATTATAATTATTCATTAATATTGTTCCTAACCACCTTTCTTGATTAAAATAAACTATCCACAGTAAATTGATGTCAAAATATTTAGAATTTTGCTTAGTATTATCACAATATGCAGCTGTTGTACACCAGTACTTTTCAATAGAGCCTATTGCACTCTATTTTTAATACACACTTTTACAACAAGCAATTTCATTAACAGCACGTGATTTGCATAATTGCTATTTTTATGGCATATTGCAAAGTGATAAGTAGATTACTAAGCTAAAATTTTATATCTGTATTCCTTCTAATTTCATAAAAAACCTATTATGAATGAATTTGAGTATTCAATTATGCAAGTCTTTTTCATCCCAACAAATTAGAATGTCTAGAAAAGATCTGGTTTGCTTTTGTATTGAAAGCCAGTTATAGTCAATTAAGAAGAATTATAAAAATAGATCAAAAATGTTAATGTCATTATCTGTTATGATGTTAAAATGTACGATGATTCTTTAAGATATTTTATATGAAACAACCAACGTGTAACTTCCTAGATCCACAAAAGTTTAAAGTAATTCTCTAAAATGTGCTTATGCTATTTTGAGATTTTAAATTAAGTTAAAACTATTAATATAAATAAGAAACTTAAATTATTATGGTTCCTTCTTTAGCCAAATCTTCGATTTTTTTTTGCTAAAAACATTGATTTAGTGTCTTTCTATAAGTAGAAATAATAAAGATAGGTTTAGGATTGAAATTAATAAGAAAATGATCAACAATCTTCTTACGAAATAAATAAGAATTCAACTTTTACATTAAAACATGTTTTTCACAACTCATCTGTTGATAATTCTATTTAATGATTCATTCTAACATCATTAAGTAGTTGCTGAGTTTTGATTTTCTGAACAAAAATTTAACAAGAAAGATGGTAAAGGAAAACTACAAGAATTTTAGATACATTTCGAAAATCAAAAAAGGATGTTAACCTAGAATTTATAAAGCTTGAAATTTCTCATAAATACAAGAGTAGAAATTTTAATTCTTTTTCCTAATTTTAAGCACCAATTCCATATCATTCTGATTAATTTACATCATGAAGATATAACTTTTATGCACAATTGGAAATTTATATCTGTATAATGCTTGAGTTAGTAAGGAAAAATGTTTTACAAGCTAAGGAAGGCAATTTTTAAATAAATATTCTAAAAAAAATAGTGTTCCAAAATTATGACACCTAAGTATTATTAAGATATATCTTTCAGAAGAGTTGAGTATTATCAATAATTTACTATTGTAAATAATTAATAAACCTTGGTTTTGGAATAGAAAATTGCACCTTGCTTCATAATCCTCTTTTTACATTTAAGTGAGTACAAAATTTACATGGCATATTTTGTAATGCTCCTTATAATATCAATAGTAGACAATTGTAAGAATTTACTAAATGCTAGGAATAGTTTGAATTAGTTCTTGAAATTGGTACAACAAAATGTAATAAGACTTTAATAATATGGATATTCTAATGGTAAATCCGCATCTGAAAATTTCTATAAATACATTTATCTTGATAAAGATTCTTTTAATGGTATGGAAAATCGATTCATTTAAAGTGGATAATATGAGAATAGATCAGGTTCAATGATTGAAAAGAAGAAAGTCTCAAGTTGTAGATTCTGTACAGAGAATTTGAAATTGATTATTAGTTTGCATTTTTTTTAAATTAATTACCAAACACAGTCATAATTTAATTTTTTATTAGGTTTGAAAGATTCAAATTGTGGAATCTCAGAATTTACATTTCTACCAAAAGAGGTATGGTAGGATTTCAAAAGACAGAGTGAACTTGTAAGTTTCAGAAAGACAACTCGTTTTTAATTTCTGATTTAGAGTAAAAAATTAATTGCTTTGACGAAAGTGGTTAAAAAAATTTGGGGTAATTAATTTTAGGAAAAAATAAAAAACCATCAAGTTTAAAAAAA